TCAACCTCTATACAAAATATTTTAAAGTAATTGTGTTATTTTTGAAAAAAGCAATCCTAATTAAATTTTTAAATAAAATAATATTAGAATAAGAAACAGAATTCTCAAATGATGAAACAGAAATGGCTGAGAAATATTGTTTAAAATAGTCAATATGTTTATTCCTCTGAGAAATCCAAGTTAAAACTACTTTGAGAGTTAATCTTACCCTGGTAGAATGGTTAAGGTTAAAAAAGAAAAATGAAACCACAACAACAGAAAACAAATGATGTCAAATGCTGGCAAGAATGTGGGAAAAGGAGACAACTTACTCATTTCTGCTGGGAGTGCAAACTGGTGCAGCCACTATGAAAATCAGTGTGGCATTTCCTCAAAAAGCTGAAATTAGGTGTATCACATGATCCAGCCACAGCACTCTTGGGTATATCCCAAAGGACTCTCTATCCTACAAGAGAGATACCTGTTCATTCATGTTCACTGATGCTCTATTCACAATAAACAGGAAACAGAAACAACCTAGACAGCCATCAATTGATGAATGGGTAGTGAAAGAATGGCACATTTACACAATGGAATAATTGGCTGGTAAATGGTGGGAACTGGGTGCAATGATCCTGAGTGAGGCAACCCAGACTCAGACAAATGCTGCAAACAGATGTTAGTTTTAAATTTTAGATAGGTGTGTTTAAATTGGAAAAATTCACAGAGTTTAACAAACTAGTAAGAGGCCACTGGGGAGGTTCATGGGTGTTGAGAGAGAATGCAGTGACATAAAGGGGAGAAGGAAATAATGCAATGGAAGGAAATCGTGAATAGGAAGCATAAAATGGGTCGTAGAATAGGATGACACATGAGGAGGGACTACAGGAGGGATAACTAACACTAACGGACTTTTCAAACAGTTGTATGGAAACCTACTGTAAAAATTCTCTCTCTGTATATATATTTTATATACATATGTATATATATACACATATATATGTTACACATACACACACAGAGACACATAATGCAAAAAGAGTTTAAATGTAGTTAATCTGCAAGGGAGTTTGAATGGTCATATCAGACACCAGACTAGCAAATAAAAACTCCAATACTAGAAATGGTCTTCCTCTTTTGAATTTGTTGACAAGAGGTCACACAGACACTCAAACAGTACTGACCATTGCCATTGCTCTTGGTTACCCACCAAAACTTGTCAGTAAGACCCTACTGCTGAAGATGTCACATGCGTGAATCTCAGAACAAACAGGAGAAATCATGCTTGCATTGACCTTGAAGCTTCATCTCCAGTGGCTAGCTCTCATAGTACAAGGTCCTATGCATGTTATTGGAAGGGAATAGGAATCATCAGCTCTGACCAGCTGTGAACCCTGCAGGCTCCAATAATGACTGGCCTCTCAGTACATGCCCAATGGTGCAATAGTGTCAACAATGAGATGGGAGTAACCAACCATCTTCAGGTTGGATTTAAGGTCCCCTTCACAAGAGTGAGCCCATACTTTACAATATTATTAACGCTAAGAACCTGTTGGCATAGGGATCCCTTAATTTTTTTTTGATTAATTTATTTTTATTTTATGTGTATGAGTGCTTTGCCTGTAAGTGGATCATGTTCACGTGTGGACATTCCCACTAAAGGCCAGAAGAGGATGTCAGATTCCAAGAACCCAGAGTTTTGGGTGCTTACTGGCCAAAATGTCAGTCCTAGAAACTGACCGCCAGGGTCCTCTCCAAGAGCAACCAGTGTTCTTAACCACTGAGCCTTCTCTCAGCCCCATATTTGCATCTTTTTTTTTTTTTAGATAGGGTCTCTGTTGTGAACTTGGAGCTCACTGGCTAGATTTCCTGGCCAACAACCCTATGGAAACCTCCTGTCACTGCCTCTCAGCAATGAAACTACAGTGGCAAGTTGCCTTGGAAGCTTTCTACATGTGTTCTGGGATCTGAACTTAAGTCCTCATGATTCAGGGACAAGCCTGCTGAACAGTCTCTCCAACTCTCAGTTTTTATTCCATTTTGTAGATAGGATCTCATTCTATGGTGCTGACTGTCCTTGGTATTAAGCTAATAGCTGTTTTCTTAGGATGACTGCAGGAAGGAGCCCAGGCGGGGGCATCAAGCGCTGCCAGCGCCAAAGAACAACAACCACCCGCACCCCCTAGAGATGGGTGTCCATGCCCAGGGAAGTCTGGGCTCAACAGTGCCAGAGCGGGCTTACCAGACGGTGCCAAGTTCCCCTTCAGTGGCAATCCTTGGTGTGGTGTCTTCCTGCAGGCTGAGATGAGGAGTTGGTTCTTATGTTTGAGACTTACACTGAAGACTGCTCCCAGACCTTATTAACCAAGGACAAAGGGGGTCTCACAGCTCCTGCACGCAGCCGGCCTCTGCTGCTGTCTTCAAAGAGCCTCCAAGGGGACCACTCCCTCCTTGTGCTGAGCATCCAGCCTGGGGACTTCTCACGCTCCAGGGGGCGGCCAGGAGACTTGTCCCTACGCAGCTGTGTCCATCCCTCACAGTCACAGTCACGGTCGCGGTGGGGTGTGCTTGGCTCTGGAGGGTGGCTGGGCCTTCTGGTGGTGCCAGGCTGGAGGCCACACGTTTGGTGATGTGCTCGTTGTATGTTGATGGGCCTCTCTTGTTGGGGCTGCAGGAGGTGCAGGGCACCTGGTGGTGGTCAGTGCCAGACCACAGGATGGCACCCAACTTTGAGGTTACAGTCTCCAAGCAGCCCTGTGGGAGTCCTCTGAAGGACAGCCTCCTCTTTCATTCCAAAGACCCGGAAAGATGCATGGCAGCTTACAGACCCCACAGAGAAGGAAGCTTTAGAAAAACTCAGCTGGGCAGTGTCCTCAAGGAGAGCTGTGTCTCCTCCCTCTACCGGTTCCACTCTGTAACTAGACACGTTCCTCCTGTAACTAGACATGCACGTAACTAGACATGCTCCTCATGTTGGTTTTGGTCAGAATGTTTTATCACAGCAATAGAAAGTAACTAGAACATCATACATGTGATGTTTTCTGCCTTTCCATGAAGCCATATTCCTGCAATGCCTGATCTATGCAGGCCCAACATTTCAGAGAGCAAAGAGCTTAGTGGGCTCACACTGCAACCTTAGCAAGTAGATGCTTTACCTGCTGAAGGGGATTCATATTTCCAAAGAGACCCTAGGGGATAGGCAATGCTTAGCCCAAGGAAGTAGGTTCTCTAATGGTAGGACTCCAGTATAGGGAGCTCTTGATGGTCTGGGAGAAGGAACGGTCACTGTAAAGGAGGTATACTGTCTTTCTAGAATTTTCTTTCTGTAACACAAATGTCCCTGACAAGCCAACCTGTATTGTCCTTATAAGCCCTGATTTTAAAGATATTGACCAAATTTTCCGGAGGATTTCTAGCCTCCCCTCTATCCCATTGACAGGTCTCACATCTGCAGATTCAACTAACCATGAATAGGACATATTTGGGGAGGGGAAAGTACCTGAGACAGATATGGTGGCACACACTTGTAACCCAAGCACTTAGGAGGTTGAGACGGGAAGATCAAGAGTTCAAGGCCAGCCTGCACTACATAGCAAGACTCTGTCTCAAAAAGAAAAAAGTTTGGGACTATGGGACTGTAGCTCAGTGGTAGAGTGCTTTCATGTTATGTACAAGCCCCTAGGTATCACACGCGCGCGCACACACACACACACACACACTCATGCATGCACACATACACATATACACATACACATATGGGACTGTAGCACAGTGGTAGAGTGCTTTCATGTTATGTACAAGCCCCTAGGTATCACATGTGCACACACACACACAGACACATGCATTCATACACATGCATTCCTGCACTTGCATGTACACATACACATATACACATATGGGACTGTATCTCAGTGGTAGAGTGCTTTCATGGTATGTACAAGCCCCTAGGTACCACACACACACACACACACACATACATTCATACACATGCATTCCTACACATACATGCACACATGCACATATACACATACACATATGGGACTGTAGCTCAGTGGTAGAGTGCTTTCATGTTATGTACAAGCCCCTAGGTACCACATACACACACATACATACACACACATTTCCATACCTACACACATATATACATACACACATGCTTTCGTACACATGCATACACACATACACACGTGCACACATATACATACATGTCCACCCCTATACACATACACATATACATGCACACATACACAAATGCATACATGCACACATGCATACACCCATACATACACATATGCACATGTACATACACATACACACACAGATACACATGCATGCACACAAATACACATACATTTATATGCACATACACATGTACACATGCACAATACATGCACAGTTAAGCACATGCATACACTCATGCACATGCATGCACTAACACATATACACATACACAGGCACATGTGCATACATACACACACACATGCACACATGCATACACACTGCTTCTCTAATGAGCACATACAGACTTTTTTTGTCATCATTCCCCCACCAATATTACAGCATAGCAACTGTGTGGTATTAGTATCACAAATAGTCTAGAAATGATGTAAGCGCACAGGAGAACATGTTTATGCTAATGTAAACATATAATTTTATTGGCGATTTAAACATCTGAGGGTGCGCATGGGGTCTTGGAAGTGATTCCGGTGGATGCTAAGGATGGCTACATTCTTCCTGGGAAGTGAGCACTTTCCGGCCGCTCGGAGTGTGCCCGGCTCTGCTGTACTTTCCAACCGCTGCCTAACCCTCCCACAACCCTATAAAGTAGGCACTATCAGTGTCCCCGCTACAAGTGAGATGACAGAAGACAACAGGTCAAGTAACCCTTGAGTCACACAATTGTTTGGTGGCAGGTTTAGAATTCAATTCCCTTTGACTTTGTGTTCCCAGTAGTGCTAGACTGAAGCCTTGTGAGTCTCAGTGGGCAACATCCTAGCATGGAATGACTACCTTCCTCTCTCCTTAGGAAACTTGAAGTTATCTACAATGAGGTGGGAAACGTTAGCTGCAAAATTATTCCTCAGTGCAACCACTTCAGAGAGAAGATCACCATGTGGCCTCCGCCGATAGTCAAGTTCCCTGGTGCCTTGGATGTGAGTGAACTGGACAGGCTGAGGGACAGATGGGAGGTTCTGAGTTGCCGAGCTCACTGTTCTTGGGGATTTGGAGCTTCATGCAGAGCTCTGGGGCTTGGTCTGCAGGAACCAGATGGCTGTTGCTCTAATATGGCAGAGGCAGGGGGATCCTGGGTGGTGTCTATGTCCTTGACCCTAGGTTCATGCAGCATGAGATGTATCCTTCTTGGGTTCAAAGTCATCTAAATCAGAGTGCTTTAGGAACTGTAAGTAACTATTTCCTTTCCTGGGAAGAAATTAGCAATATCCATTCTGGAAGCTTCCCTAAGCATGGAGGTCCAGAAAGCCTGGGGACAGGCAGTGTAAGTGGGAAGTGGGGTTGCTGCTCCCTGCCTCCTTTTCCTGATCACTACTTTCTTCTTCTTTGTCTCCTGGGCCAGACAGTGTCAATGGCTGAGGCTGGACCCTTGCTCTTTGGTGGATTTGGGCAGAACCTACCAGAGTCCCAGAAGTACAAGGGCTGTGATTTGACAAGACACAGTGGTAGAGCCAGAAGGTGTGGTTGTGATGTGATGTGGTCCCTCTGCAGCAGGGCAGGGAGGGACTGCAGGTTTCTTCCTTTGTCTCCGTGCAGCCTCAGGAACCCCCTCCACTCTGGTCAGGCAGGCAGTGGTCTGGCAGCACAGGGCCATTGTCCAGCATCTGGCCTGGACAGCATCATCATCTGGGTTACTCAGATGGGTGTGGCTGGTTTGTCTTCTGCAAGTGTTTTTCATTATCAGAGAACAAATAGATTGTGATGCCTTACAATGGACGTCGCTGATATATAAAGCGGGGCTAAGTTGTCCTGTGTGCATCTATGACAGACATGCTTTCCTCCAGGAGACCGAGAATCAAGCAACACACAACTCATACACACATGTATACATGTACACACATTGACTCTCCTCCCTGGGGACCTCAGCCATGGTTACGCCTTTGGGCAGCCAAGAGGAGCAGAGAAAGGAAGTTATGGTGATGGGCAGGATCCCAGTCCCTGGAGGACTGACATATGCTAATCTGTGGGACAGGATCTTGGACTCACTTGTCCTCAGGGTATTTACTTGCAGAGTGAGGAGGTCTAGCCAGGTTATCACCGATTGTCCCAAGGGAGAGTCTCCCACAATCTCCGTTCCCTGTGTTGCTATTGAGGCAGATGTACACTAGATGGCAGCAAAGACTGCCAAGCACCCAGACTCCCTCCTAAAGGGATTCAAAGCCAGTTAGGAAGTCTGGTTTCACTAGGTTTATTTGGCCTGAGGTGTGGACATATGACACAGAGAAGATATGGTCTCTGCCATGTCTTGAAATCTATGGTCTCAGCCTGGGGGTGGGGAAGAAGGTTTAGTAGAAACAGTGGGCAGAAAGAAAAGGGGAGTGTTCTAGGGGTACAGACCTATGGTTTGTGGAAATGAGCAGACCCCAAGAAGATAAAGGCGGGGTTCAGGAAAGCGCGCACAAGCGTACTCTATGCCAGGTTCTACTCATAGGATCAGTTGTTCAAGTGATGCATCAAGTCTGCAAGTTAAGCACGGCTTCTGTCAAGGAAGTTAGTAGCACATGACAGAAAGTCAACTTCAACTGCTTTAGACCAAATAAAGAGGAGAGAACAAGGGTAACTTCAGGCTCGGCTGCATCCGGATACTCAAGCGCTGTTGCTAGAAATCCAACTTTGTCTTGACTCTGTTTCTCTGAACTGTTTCCATTTGTGAACAGACTTTCCTGTGGTGATAAAGATGACTCCAACAGCCTCAGGTTTAAATTTGACTAGTTTATCCATCAACCCCAAAGGGGGGAAAAGGATGAACCCTTTCTAACCTTTACAAGTCCCAGGATCCTCCTTGGATTATATGCCTGTTCCCAATCAAACAGTGGCCCTGCCCCTCTCTACTAAATCTATAAGGTCTGAGTGCAAAAGTGGGTGCTCCTCAAGGGAGTATCAGGGGCTGCTTGTGAGAAGGGGGTCAGCAGGGAAGCCAGGGCAGTTCTGATGGGTATAAGCATCTAGCCAGTGCTGGGCTGGGTGGTGCCAGTGCCAGACTGCATACCCAGGTCTTTCCAACTCCAGAGCCCTGGGCTCCAGTAGCCATCTTCTGGTGAGGGCTCTAAGGGAGTCTTTGGGTGGTGCTGATACAGTAAAAGACGGGTGTGCTGAAGGACAGTCTCTGCTAAGGAAGGAGGTGACTGGAGCTCCCATTAAGGGCTCAAAGGAACAGCTGCAGAGTGTGATGGGTGAAGCTGGGGAGGAAACAGGTGGCACCTTGGAACGGGGTTCCTCAAGAGCAGGGCATGCAGGGGTGAGGAAGAACCATGGTCCTCAGATAGGTGAGGAAGACATTTTCTCTGGGTCATCAATGTTGACGGACAAAGGCAAGAATTGTAAGTGGCTCAGTGGAGACAACGCCAAAAACAACAACTTACCAGGGACATGCCCAAGGATCCCCCACCCCCAAGCAAGCCCTGATGCCCTGGGCAGGAGGAGTACAGCAGGCATGGGATAGGCTTCTGTGCCCACATGGGGTCTCTACACTGCCACATGTTTGCACAGGCCACTCCTGCTCCCCTCTACAAAGCCTTCTCTGGCTCCTCGGAACCTCATCTCCAATCGGGCTGATTACTTGCAGCTCTGAGTTCTTTAAATGTCCCCTAACCTCTAAACAGTATGTTTTTACTTCTTTCCATCTTGTACTGTGGTTGTTCCTTCATATCTCTCACCACTACAGCCACCTATTAAACACTAGGCAAATGAGGGCTGGAGAGATGGCTCAGCGGCTTAGAGCACTGGCTGCTCTTGCAGAGGACCCAGGGTTCAGTTCCCAGCACCCACATGGCAGCTAACAGCTATCTGAAACTCGAGTTCCAGGGGCTCTGACACCCTCTTCAGACCTTTGCAGATATTTCATGCATGCGCTTATATACACGCACACAAACACACACACAAAGCATTCATACACACATAAAACAAAAATTAAAAAAATAATTAAACACTAGGCAAGTAAGAAAACGTGACATTTCCTTGAGCTACCCACAGCATGGCAGATCCTGTGCTGACTGATTGGGTGAGAGGGAAGTGAGTTAAGAAGTGGATGGAGGGACAGATGAGTGGGACATGGATGAACGGATGACTGGATTATCAGATGGGTGGATGGATGGATATGTGGAGGGACAGAGAGATGGACACATGGATAGATGGTGACTAGATAGGCAAGTAGATAGATGGATGGACAGATGGATGGAAAGGTGGATGGATGGACAGGTGGATGGATGGATATGCAGATGGATGGATAGATGGGTCAATGGGTGGATGGATGAATGTCAGGGGAGGACTCTGGAGTATTAAGCTATGAACCCTAAGTCCCGTGGCTTGCCCTTTAAGCTGCTGGGAGTCCTAGGCACAAAAGGAAAGCTGCTGAGCCCAGGTGCCTGGGAAGGTACTCTGCCCAGGTAGGGGTTCGTAAGAGTGGGAAGGAGGAACAGAAAGAGGGAAAAAGCCAGGGCAGGGATCTGCAAAGTGGCAAAGCAGCGCAGGAAACAGGACAGCTCCTGTGTGATCCGCAGTCGTGAGCTGAGGGCTGAGAGCGGGCTGAAGTAGATGCTTTTCTCCCCTAGCGCTCCTTCTGACAAACATTAAGAGGCCAACATTTTAAAATGCATCACGTTCTCCAGCCAATGAAGACTGAAAAGCTCCTAAGAAGCATCTTGACTGGGGCTTATTCTTCACCTTAAATTTAACCAGCTGGAATCCTTTTGAAAGGAACAAATTGCCTTTAAGTGGGAAATGTGTGCTGCATTAAAAGGACGGAACAAAAGCCACAGAGCTCTGTCCCGCTGTCCCCTGGGTTTCCAATCAGGCTCCCGAAAGCAAGTGACCCTGCGTGTCCTCTCTGGGCTGGGCAGGCACATTCCTCCACCAGCTGGGTCTACAGTAGAGCATCTCTGCTGCTGCCTCCGAGGGCCACCTCTTTGCCCACACTGTGGAGACAAATTTCACAAGGGCTAGAGATCTAGAGACCTGCACTCGGGGCAGGCAGTCACAGGCTCCATTCAGGAGCCCCTGAGAACTCCTTCCCAAGCCATCTTTTTTCCCAGAGCAGGAACGTGGGGCCTGCTGCAGTTCCAGAAGAATTAGCTGTGGAAGGGCTTTTGAAATCCTGGGTCGTTCTGGGTAGAGCAGCCAATCCCTGGAAGCAGGGACAGATACATGGGGGCCTGGAAGCAGGCCTTCTTAGCAGAGGTTGAGTGTGTGTGCTCACAGGGACTGCTGAGTGCAGGCGTTTGCTCTGAAGTCTATGGCCACGCAGGGTAGCTGTGTTAGGAACGCGAAGTAATTCACGCAACAAATATTATTACACGCATGCTGTGTACTCGGCACTGTGTAAGTGCTGTTGATTTAAAGACACAGACACCATAATGTAACTTCCAGGATGGGGGGGGTCAGGCAGGTGTCTGGTGAGCAGAAGGAGCTGGGGTGCCACAGCTGGCAATGGACAGGCAACAGCTGGGATGGTCAGGTGTAACAAGACCCTAATGTAAGCCTCGATTTTATCTTGAAGACAGAATGGGAAGAGGGAAACTTATGTTTAAGTTGAGGATATTTGGAAGGGCAAGGTCACTGTGGCAGCAGATAATATGGGGAAGTGAGAGATGTCAGGGTGGTGGAATCCATGGGGTGCTGTGGCTATCAAGGGAGGGGGGAGAGTGAGTGTCACATCACATTTCTGGGATGGACAGGCAGGTGGCTTTGGATAAGGTTGAATAGCTGATTTGTCATCGCAGATAGGACCCTTTGAGAATAGAGGCAGCATTGTTCATAACTATGCCTAGATATGGCATCATCGCTGGGCACAGTCACAGCAAGCTGAAGCGTACTTTGACCCTAAATGTGGTACTTTCACTAAGCAAGGGACACAAGCACCTGACAGCGGCAACCTCTGCATACTCAGCATCTGAGGACACTGGTAGCAACAGAGGTGGCTGCA